ACTAACAGGACATTGAATAATGGACTGCAGTAATCAAACAGTGTGGCACTGGCACAAGGATAGACATATAGACTAATGGAATAGAATAGAGAGCCCAGAAATAAACCCTCAGTATATCAGCAAGGGTGCCAAGACCATTCAAAGGGGAAAGAGCTGAAACTTAATTCTCTTTTATATTTGGCCATGCCATGTGGCATGTGGGATCTTAGTTCCCCAACCAGGGATCGAACCTGCGTCCCCTGCAGTGGAAGCGTGGAGTCTTAACCACTGGACCGCCAGGGAAGTCCAGTAACTAAGTCTTGATTTGGTGACTTGAGGCTTAGCATAAGCCACTGCATTTTGGGCCCATTGTCTTATTTTTAACAATTTCCTCCTGTTGACCAGTCTCTCAGCCTGAGGGATGCAATACAAATTGAAGGCATTAGTGCTATTCCCAGCTACCACTCTGGAGGCCTTGCAGCTTCTGCTGACCCTCCGTGTGGTGCTCACGGGTTATGACGTCGGGTTCACGTTCTTTGTCAGTCTTTCGTTCTTTTTCTGATGTTTCAGTCGTAGGGAGATCACTTGCTTGGTGGTTAGTGGCTGCAAACATGCATTTAAAGCTCTTGAGAGAATACAACGCAGTACAAAGATTATTACGATGATTACAAGCAGGATAATTCCCAGTGTCTGGGGTGCGCTTCAGAGCCATGATCCCCCAAACCCAAACCAATCAGAATCAAATCAAAGAAAGTCCCTAGGGCTTCCCTGGTGGCGCAGTGGTTGAGAGTCCGCCTGCCGATGCAGGGGACACGGGTTCGTGCCCTGGTCCGGGAAGATCCCACATGCCGTGGAGCGGCTGGGCCCGTGAGCCATGGCCGCTGAGCCTGCGTGTCCGGAGCCTGTGCTCCGCAACAGGAGAGGCCACAACAGTGAGAGGCCCGCGTACCGCAAAAAAGAAAAAAAAAAAGAAAGTCCCTGTTGAAGGAGTCGCCTGCTTAAGCTAATTGGCTTAGTCCCTGGTCTTATATTCCTACATTCTCACCCACCTTTCTGATTGTTGCCAACCTCATTGGCATGCTTGTTATTTCAGCCCCAGGCTGATTTCTGGGAACAGAAGGGACACCTTAGAGGTGGTACAAGACATAAAATTAAATAAAGTTGATCAACATAGTGAGAACATTATTGCCTTTTTAATTCTAATTCAGTGAGTGTTAGGGGGTGGAGTGTGACTTTAACCCCTTTCTAACGGTTGCTAATCTCTCTTTTTATTAACGATCCTGATTCTGAGGTTGTTGTGGTTCCCAGCTATTTATGGCAAGTGATAATGTTTTTCTGTGTAAGGGAGATACTTTTATTTATTTAAGTCAAACTTAAAGAAAAATATGAAGTTGTAGGTGGTACCTGGATATTGCATCAATTATGAAGATGGTTCATGTCACTGAGGTTGAAAAAAACCTGACATAAAACAAGGATCAGAGGGCCTGAGCAAGTCACCTCTCCTGGCCCTCTTCCCTCTGCTGTAAAGTAGCGATAACAGCACCTCCTAGGATTATTAAAAGAATTCAGTGAGATCTTTTACAATGGGCTCAAGCACTGGGAGGGGCACAGAAAATGGCATCAGAGCTTTGGAACATAAAGACACGGGCTATTTGTCCCTTGGATATCTGCCTGCTGTGTGTGTGTCCTGCCCTCTGTGGTAATTTTGTCATGCTTTTCAAACGGAAACAGTACCCGAGGTCACTCACCGGAATTGCTTTGGAGCCCGAGGCAGGAAGTGGGTCTGGGGACGGGGTCAGGTTAGCCAGGGTGAGGCCTGTGCCTCGTGCCTCCGATTGCAACCTTCTCTGCTGGGGAACAGTTTCCATCCGTCTCAGCAGGCACATCCCACTGCGGTGGGGAAACCCGGCAGCAGATGCCGAGAAAGCAGCTGGAGCTTGCAGGTCCCCAGGGCTCCATCTGGACCATCGTCCCACTGGCATCACATGGCAATGGGGTCAGAGGTCAGGGCAGCCTGGGCAAAAGCAGCAGGTCTGACCAGAGGACAGGCCGTGAGGCTATTTCCAGTGTAGGTCTTAGCTGTCAGACTCTGATTCTCTGACCAGGTGGGAGGGAGTTAGGAGCCCTTCACTGATTTAATAAATGGGAAGAGACTGCACACTCCAAGTAAACGTTTGTATTAGTTTCCTATGGCTGCAGTAACAAATTGCTACAAACTTAATTGCATAAAACAACACACAGGTATTCTCTTACCGTTCTGCAGGTCAGTGTCCAAGATGGGCCTCACTGGGCTAAAATCAAGGGGTGGGCAGGGCTGCGTTCCTGTCTGGAGGCCCTGGGGGAGCACCCACAGCCTGGGTTTTTCCAGCCTCCACAGGCTGCCCACCTTCCTGGACTTATGTTCTGCTTCCGCCTTTAAAAACAGTAACGGCCAGCAGCGTCTTCTCATGACGCCATCTCTGGTTCTGATCCTCCCGCCTCCCTCCTGTAACGACCCTGGTGACTACATCAGGCCCGCAGAATAATCCAGGGTGAGCTCCCCACCTCCCCCATCCCCGCCGTCGCAAGATCCTTAACTGAATCACACCTGCCAAGTCTCGTTACCATGTAGGGCAACACCATCACAGGTTCCAGGACATGGACATCTTTGGAGGCCACTGTTCTGCTGTGGCCAGGCTTCCCTCCAGGGGTCCCATTAGGGCCCAGACTGATTTCCCCGGGTTTTAGTCCAGTATCAGAGAGCACACTTTTCTATTGCCTGTCCTGGAAAAAAATTCCAGGGTTTTCTCCGATTGTGCTAACTCGGGTCACACGCTCACTGCCAAACCAACGGTCATGGCTACTGGAATGGACCCGAGCCCAGGCCCACCCCTAGAGCTAGCGTTCAGTCAGCCCTCGTCGGGACCCAGAGGAGAGCAGTGTGATACCTCCAAGGAGAGTTGAGGAACCTTCCAGAAGGAGAGGGAGGGGACGCCGACCACTGTACACCTTAAAGAGTTTGTATCCATATCCAGGTGGAAAGTGTGCTCCCAGGCACACAGCCAGCACGAGGTAGGGCCGTGATTTGATCGTGTGTGAACCAGTTCTTGCCAGGACATCAGCTCCCACCCTGCAGCTAACGGGGCATTAGCAGATCTGTTCAGTACTGGGAGTGCCATGGAACACAGTGGTGGCGTGGGTGACAACCTCATCTGAGGTTAGTATGGGACATGTCGAGGAAGGTACGTGGTTAACACAACCACTGGCAAAGGTAGATACCCTCAGAGAAAAGGGAAATTTCCATTTTACTCCTAAAAGAATCTTTAAAGCCAAACTCAAATCAAAGAGCAAAGTATAATAACTTCCTCTGAGCAAATTTATAATTAATCCTGGATTAATTGGCCTTAATGAAGTTGAATTAAGTACTAGCTGTTCGTAAAGAACTTTGAACTACCTTCGTACAAAATGGCATTAAAGAAACAGAAAGGAACCAGCATCGCATTAACATTAAGAACAAATCCCAAATAATCGCAGTTCTGCAGGCCGTTCCCTGTCAATCATTTCCCAGGGACCAGGCCCAGCCTTGGAATCCAGGCTGGGACCCAGGAGTCTGCTTCAGAGGATGGTGTCTTTGTGGGCTGGAGGTTTGGAGGTGGGTCCACTCAAGCAACAGTTACGGAGCCTTTGATGTACCAGGCCGAGGGCAAGCAAAGATGTGTAAGGGGTCTTCAGCCTGCTGGGACAGAGGAGAGCACCAGGGCACCAGCCTGGTCTAAAGCAAACGCGCCTCACTGGGGGAGAAGCCAGGATAGGGACAAAGGACACAGGAGGGGGCGTGATGTGACCTGCATTTTGCTGGCCAACAGGGCTCCACTTCCTACAGTGTGTCCCTCACACTCTCCCTGGCTCTTGGAGTGAGCTTATGACTCACACCTGCCTAGGCAGAGGTCTGTATTTCTCTGCTTGGTGCAGGGGCACAGCTGACCCCAGGATACAGTCCGAATCTGGCTGACTTTTCAGACAGCTCAGAGCTGCCGTCTCCTTGGCACTTGTGGAGACAGGGCTAGACTCCAGGCTACTGCTGGGGCAGCTGTCTCGGAGCCAGCTGTGGTAGGAGTTGGAGACGGTAAGACCTGGCTTAAAGCCCCAGCCCTGCCGCTGGTGAGCGTTTAGCTGTAAGTCGGGCCGGGTAACAGCTACAGCCCGCAGCCCCAAGTCTCGGCGGCCTCACCAGGCAAAATGTCTCTCAGATTTCACATAGAAACACTCTCGTCTCTTGAAAAGCGGGAAGGTGGGACAATGTTGGGCTAGCATTCCCTCCTGGTGTCACTTGGCCAAAGCTGAGCCGTGGCTCCCCATCTGTGGCCACAGGACATGTGCTCTCCACCTCCGCAGTCTCCACCACCCCGGGCACCTTAAACCCTGCTGATTACTCTCTGGCGAGTCAACTGCCTGGCCAGGGCAGACATTTAAATTTGTGATCCGTGTTGTTGCCCGTGGGCGACACCTTTTCTGTGGGTGACATTTCAAGAGAATGAGCGTTGCGGGCCCTCCCCAGCACGCGCGCACTCAAACGACCTTCTGCGTACAGTTTGGCGGCCCCCTGAGGCCACGCTGACTGCCCGGGTCCGAGATTCTCCGAGCAGCCTTCCCAGGTTTCCCGCGCTGGCTCTTAGGCAGGACGGGTTCAGCTTCGCGGCCCGCCCTCCCTGCCCCGGGCCTGGTCCTTCCACCGCTGCTGTATTTCCCCAGGGCTTCTCGGGGTCCGTAGTGGTCTGGTTCCGTCTTTACTCCCGGTTATTGTTCCCCCCCCCCCTCCGGGTCCCCCATGTCCTGCGGGGAGAGCGACCTGTCCCCGCGCGGTGGACAGAAGGCGCCGGGTGCCCAGAGGGCGCTCAGCTAGAGCCCGTGGAAACGAACGAATGAACGCGAGGACGGACGGAGGTCGGCCCCGGCGCCTGGCTCCCCGGCTCGGCGCACTGACCGCGCGGCCGGAAGCTTCGGCGCCGGAACGCGCGAGCGGGGCGCGGGCGGCGGGGGCCGGCTTAGCGGGCGGACCGCAGCGGCGGCATGGCGGGCCGGCGGGTGAACGTGAACGTGGGCGTCCTGGGCCACATCGACAGCGGCAAGACGGCGCTGGCGCGCGCGCTCAGCACCACAGCCTCCACCGCCGCCTTCGACAAGCAGCCGCAGAGCCGCGAGCGCGGCATCACGCTCGACCTGGGCTTCTCGTGCTTCTCGGTGCCGCTGCCCGCGCGCCTGCGGCCGGCGCCGCTGGGGGCCGAGCCCGAGCCCGAGCCCGGGGCCGAGCCGCGGCTGCAGGTCACGCTGGTCGACTGCCCCGGGCACGCCTCCCTCATCCGGACCATCATCGGCGGTGAGCGCGGAGGGGCGGGGGGTGCGGGGCTCGGACGCGCCGGGGCGGGGGGAGCCCGCCGGGAAGTCTCTCGCGCCGCCCCGAAAACAGCGAAAGTGTTTTTTGTTTGTTTTTTGTTTTTTGTTTTTTTTTTTTTACCACATGCGTTCGTAATACACGCACAGGTTAGGGAAACTCAGAGACCCTGAAAGTGCCCAGAAGGCGTCCACTCGCTGTCCTTTGGTCTCCTGCTGCCCGTCTCCGCAGTCAGCCGCTGTCCCGTCCTGTGCCATTTCGGAGGAACTCCGTGTGCAGGCAGCGTTCCTGTGTATATGTCGACCCCTCCTTTTCTCGTTCTTTTTTAAATTTTTTTTTCACAAAATGGTAACATCACTCTATTGAGTACTTCACTCAGTACTCGGGCCTGCCCATTCGTACATATAAAGCAACATCGTTCTTTTTAAAGGTCACATGAAATTCCGTTGTACACTTGGACCACCGTTTTCTGAATGTCTTAATGATGGACATTTATGTCGTTACTCATTTTTGCTAACGATGCTTCAGTGAGTTTTATAGAACAGACGTCTTTGGTAGGTGTGCTAGTATGTCTGTAAGGAAAGACCCTAGAACTGAGATGCTGGGGCAGAGAGTCGTGGTGAGTACTGCCCAAAAGCCTTCCTGAGATGTACCATTTAATTAATTTTAATTATACAAGTAGTACATGAATACATTCTACTTCTGAAGAAATAGAACATTACAAACCAGGCAGAAGGCCCCTAATTACCCCTCCCATCTCGCCAGAGGAAGCCACTAGTACACCTCTGGATTACTTTTCCACACCCATTTCAGTATACTTGACTCCATGGACAGGTGTTTTGTTTATATAGAAAAATGGTAGCACATGGCACAAAGGGTGTATATATAGTTCAGAGACTCCTCACTGCTGACCCAGGGACCTGGTACATCCCTGCTTTCCACTTCCTCCAGACCCTTCCGGTGGCGTTCTGTGCACCCACGAGTGCGTATAGGAACACTTCTTGGTCAGATGGTTTTATCGGCCTGCTGGTGGGCAGCTGCACTGGTCGCTCGCTGGGCATAGCAGGCCCTGCTGTATGATGAGTGTTGAGTACTTTCACCTTGTCACCTCCCGTCTGGTCCATGCTGCAGGCAGTCTGAGATAATTTCCCCATTTTCAGGAGAGGAACTGGAGGCTCGGAGAGGAGCAGGAACCTGCTCCGGTCCCCCGCCTCACACCTTCTACTCCGGCCGTGCTCCAGCCACAGATGCATGTGAAGGGGCTCGCGATCCTCTCTGCTGTCCCCTCCCCTTGTAACTGATTTCTGTTTGGTCACGTCCAGGTACATTTTAGGACACGTTCTCTGAGCCAGTGTAGGCTGGAGGTTAAAAAATGGGAAGGCAGATTGTTGGTCTTTTCTTGTGACAGGTGTAGGGAGTGAAGGACATGCTTCTGGAGTCTGTGGTGAGGCCTGGCTTTCTCCCTCACTGACCTTGTGACCTCAGATGTGATTCTGGACTGTCCACACTCTGGCAGATCTCAGCGGGCTTTGCTTTTTTTGCACGTTTGCCACTTCTCGGGCAAACGCTGTAGGGAGTGTGGTGGTTACTGTTCAGCCATCGAGGGACTTGGGACTCGGGGAGGCTGCTAGGAAGTGGCTGACCCAGGGCTCTGCTTGACTCCAAAGCTGCCACTTCCCGGGTTACTGCACTCAGCCCTCCCCTTCCACATGTATGTTCGTGGTGTTTCTTCATAGGACAGAAGGTTTCAGGCACCAAATTGTAACGCCTCCAAGCATTTGACAAGTTCTTGGTTTAGACCGTAAATTGTTGAAGAAACGAAGAGGGATTCCTCCCCTGTTGTACGAACATCGCGGCTCTTACGTTTCTCTCGCCCCTGACCCGGGAGACGCTCCTTGTCTTCTTACAGGTGTTAACGTGTGACCTGAGCACATTGCAGTGGTGGGACCAGGGCTGCTACTCTACTTCCTTCAATAGATGAGATTCCCACCCTGCACTGAGGAAAGTGAGAAGAAAAAGTGACTTTTTTCTTTTGGGGGGAAAGGAGCTGCATCTGAGTGCCTGCCCGGGTCCACGCCTGTGGCTACAAACTTGCGTCTGTGCGATAACGCTGAGTGATGGGGGTGGAGTGGGGCGTGGGCCCCACTCTTCTGATGAGAAAACTGAAGCTTGGAAAGTCGAGTTCCCTGGGCAGGCGTTGGGACCTGCTCTGGCGCCCCTGACCCAGGTCTGGCGAATCCCCTTCGTTATCCTCATGTTGCAGAGGCCACGTGGGTCTTTACTTGTCCTTCCTGTCCAGGCTGTGGGCCCTCCCCTCCTCCCTCTGCTGACCCCCCACACGGTGGACAGTCTGCTCCTTTTATGGATATCTTCAGATCAGGTCAGCCATCAGCTGAAGACTGTCCGGGCACTCATTGCCCCCCCAGTGACCCGCGATCTGGCCTCTGCCCTCCCCTGAGCCTCATCCACGGCTCCTGACCTCCAGTCACACTGGCCTCCTCCTACTTATTGGATGGGCCAGTGTTGTACCTGCTGTGCCCTCTTCATTTAAGTCTCAGCTCGAGTGTCACCTCCTTGGAGAGGCCTCCTCTGACCTACTGGCCTAAAGTGTCCCCAGTCCTCTACCGTCATACTTCCTCATGTCCGTGTTTTGTTTCCTGCTAGCGCTTGGTGCTGTCTGATACGCGTGATGTGCTTGTTGATGGCCTCTGTCCTCCACGAGAGCATAGCAGGAATTGGGCCAGAGCCTGGCATGTGGGAGGCACTCAGAAGTCCCAAATGAATGAAGCCGGGGCTGGGGGGCGGATCGAAAGTCACCAGCAGGGCCCCTCTGGGTGCTGACAGCAGAGCCGGGGGAGAGTGCTGTGCGGTGTGCAGCGTGATTCATTAGGGCTCTTTGCACAGGGGTGACTTGCTTTGCGGGGCATGGTGGAGAAAGAAAAGCTTGCCCGGTGGTGGCACAGCCTGGGTGGGGCTCTGAGGCGTGAGCCTGCTGTCTTGTCTGTTCAGAGCCAGGGTTAGCTGCCAGCATTTAGCAGCTGGAAATGGGCCTGGTGAGTGGGGAGAGGTGTGGAAGGTGAAGGCGGGATCGTGTAGAGAGGTGAGTGGGGCTTAGATCGGGCCCTCGGTGCAGATTTCTTCTAAGGGCCTTGGAATGCTTTTAAAGTAGGTTTGTGATGTGATGAGGCCGGGGCTTTAGAAAGAGGCAAGGTGGCTGAGCAGGGACTCCAGCTGGCAGCGCACCTGTGCCCGGATTGCTGGGCGGTGGGGCTGCCGCTGCAGCTCCCAGCTCACCGGGAGTGATTCAGACCGCTTGCTAAATGCCCTGTCCGAAGCAGAAGGAAATTAGAGTGACTGTCTGAGCTCCATGATGACACCTCTAAAGTGTGGTGTATCTTAAAGCCAGCTCTCTTTAATTCCAGCGCTCCCCCAAAATACTTTCATGTACAAAAAGATCATTTTTTAACTTAGAGAAAATTGGGTTTTATCTCCTTGATCCCTGTGGCCATAGATGAAACTCCTAAGTGGTGCTGGGGGTTAATAGTGACAACAGTACTTAGCATGCATTTAGTGCCAGCATTGTGACTTTTTTGGTTTGTTTAACCCTCATAGCAATCCTGGGAGGTAAGAGGTGATACTCCCATGGGACAGATGATAAAGGCAGAGGCTCAGGGAGGTTAGGGAACACAGATCAGAAGGGTCAGAGCTGGTGTGAGCCCACGCTGATCTGCCCTTGGAGTACCGGCATATTCTCAGTGTGAGTGGACAAGGGTGACCGTCCGCCCCAGGCCCTCTCATGGTGTTTCTGGGCAGTGTTTTTCTCTGATGTGTTTTAGAGTATAAATCTTTCAGGGTTAGAACTTCAGAAAGATTCAGTAATGTATGTTTTAAAGACTTGGGTGGGGGTGAGGGACTTGGACCCATCCTCAGTCTCACTCTGCCAGGAAGGAAGAGGTCTGAAAAATGCTGGTATCTTGGCTTGGCAATTTACAGTCCTCTGGTGGCTGCCACGATTAACAGCGCATTGTCTCCCAGTCTTTTGTCCTGTGGTTAATGAACAGCAGCTCTTTTGCCACGACTGTCACCCTGATCGCTAGCCTCCTGTGCCCCCCCGACGCCCCTCCGTTTAAGCGGTGCTTCCTGCCAGGTCTGGGCCCTGTCTGGACGCCCCTGGCTGGAGCTGCTGATCTACCACAGCCTTGCAAGTGTGACTCAGGGCTCCTAGCTTTGGAGGTCAGCCGGCAGCCCAGGGGGCGCCTGTCCCTGCGGCCTGGGAGGGGCACGTTCTTCACGACACCTAAGCTGCTTCCCCTCCTCTGTTTCCAGCTCTCCGTGCTCGTGTGGCGACAAGGAGAAGCCTGGTCCCTCGGGCCGTTTGATCCGAGAGTGCGCCTGCAGTCTGTCTGAGATGCTCTCTTTGGACCCATGAGACAGGTTCATGTGCGAACGACCGTGTGTTTTCCACCAGGTTTCTACACTGCTCTTTGGGCGTCTGTGCTTAGTCCCCAGCAGGTGGTGTGGCCCAAGCAGAAATGACAAACTGGAGGCCTGGCCACCCCAGGAATTTGGGTGTTTTTCTGATGCAAAACCAAACAAACAAACAAAAAGGACACTCTGGTTTTCTTAGCCCCTAGTCTTTTAATGAATCTGTCCAGAAATGCATTGTGTTGGGCTTCCCTGGTGGCGCAGTGGTTGAGGGTGCGCCTGCCGATGCAGGGGACACGGGTTCGTGCCCCGGTCCGGGAAGATCCCACGTGCCGCGAAGCGGCTGGGCCCGTGAGCCATGGCCACTGGGCCTGCGCGTCCGGAGCCTGTGCTCCGCAACGGGAGAGGCCACAACAGTGAGAGGCCTGCGTACCGCAAAAACAAAACAAAAACAAAAACAAAAACAGAAATACATTGTGTTATGTTATGGTGTCATACGATTGTCCTAAAGTATTGAGACATATTTAAAGGCGTTGATGTAAGTGGAAATGCTTCTTTAG